CCCCCCCCCCTGTACCGGGGAGGGGGGAGTGTGACTGTAAGCCTGCCCCCCCCCCCCTGTACCGGGGAGGGGGGAGTGTGACTGTAAGCCTGCCCCCCCCCCCCTGTACCGGGGAGGGGGGAGTGTGACTGTAAGCCTGCCAGGGGGCGGGATGATTTTTATCACCTGTCCTTTCGAGGGACACGGTCATGCAATTGTAATATGCCCTCCAGTACTAGAATGGTGTTAATTGTCATAAACCCTCCTCTGTCGAGGAAGCATAATTGTAATAACCCATCGTGTACTGGGGATTGTGTATAGAGTAAACTTTCCTGGATTGGAGAGGGGCTCTGGTAATAAATACTCCTATTTTGGTGGGGAAGTTATCATATGGGCAGGGGTATAATTGTGTTAACTCCTTGTGCTGGGGTTGGGGCAATTGTAATTACTTCACTTACGCTAGTAGGGGAGTTGATGTCATTAAACCCTCCTGTACTGAGGAAGGCGGTTGATTATAATCAACTCCTTTACTGTGGAGAAAGTATTTATAGTAGTGCCTCATGCTGTGAAAGTAATGAATAGACCTGCCTGTTGGAAATTGTACTTGTGATTTACCCTCAGCTTCTGGGAAGGGTGTAATTGTGATAGCACCATGTGTTGGAAGTGGGGTAATTATACTAATCCATCAAATACTATTCAGGAGGGTTTAACTGTACTAAGCCACTTGCCCATTGTTGAGGGACAATCAATTCTAGCACTCATGTGAGGTGCTAGAGTGGATTAATTGCAATAGTTACCCCTTCTTGATGATTAAGGTAAGTAGTAGGGATTTTATAGCGAAAAGTCCTTTCAGTTAATATTCCTTCTTTGCAGTCAGGATGAAGTGAGGGAAAAAAACCGTTTACTGTTCAGTTAGAGAATGTAGTCTTCTCTTGGAAGCATAGTGCCGAGTGGTGTAACCTTAGTTGCCCAGCCCTGGCCCAATTCTGATCCCATAAATGCATTATTGCCTCCTGCTTTACCCGAGATTTAAGTGTTTGTCTCGTTGAAGATTCAAGATTTTTAAAAAATTCACTTGTGGGATGTGGGCGTTGCTGACTGGGCCATCATTTATTGCTTTCCTCAATTGCCCTTGAGTAGGTGGTGGTGAGCTGTCTTCTTGAGCCACTGCAGTCGATGTACTGTAGGTAGGCCCATGATGCCACTAGAGAGGGAATTCAAAGATTTTTACACAGCAACACTGAAGGAAAAGCAATATATTTCCAAGTCAGGATGGTGAGAGTCTTGGAGAGAAACTTGCAAGTGGTGGTGTTTCCATGTATCTCCTGCCCTCCTCCTTCTAGATGTGGTCATGGGTTTAGAAGATGCTGTCTAAGAAGCTTTGTTGAATTACTGCTGTCATTCATTGAGAGGGAAATTCAAGCCAGGGCTTGTGTTAATACAGAAGGAAGAAAGAGTTTTCTGTATTTTGTAATCTGAATTTGATGTTTATGGAGTCTGGAATAGCTGTCGTAATGGTGAAAGTCGTCATGCAATAATCTGGATAAGATGTACAGTTTTGAAAAGGTGATCTGTAAATTTATAACCTGGACAATCGATGAGCTTCAGTCTTTCAAGGGCCTGGTGATTTTTGCAATAAACTGGTGTGGAATTTTTGAAGCAGTGAGATAGATTGAATGGGTCTGGTATCCCGGTATTGGAAGCCAAGTGCTGGAAATAGACTGTGTATTTGAGGAGTGGTGCAAATTAATTCCAGTTTGAGTATTGTTTATTTTTGTTTTCCCTTTCCTTGAGTATAAAGGTGCTCTATATTTAAAATAACTGTATAATGTTTTTGTCAGGGGCTGTTATGGCACAGTGGTAGTAATGCTGCTTCTGAGCCAGAAGAACCAGGTTTAAGCCCACTCGACAAAAAAACCGAAAGAATTGCGGGTGCTGGAAATCTGAAACAAAAACAGAAATTGCTGGAAAATCTCAGCAGGTTTGGCAGCATCTGTGGAGAGAAATCAGAGTTAATGTTTCGGATCTGGTGACCCTTCTTCAGAATGGTCCTACCTGTTTCAGAAGTGTGTCATAATACATCCGAACAAGTTGATTAAAAAAATTCATTTTTTTGCCTCCAGAGCTATCTTTATAATGTATAAAATAAAGTTAATTTCACATCATCTCTGGCAAGTCCTGTTGTTAGCCTTGCATTATTACACTGTAAAAGGGAGAGGAAAAAATATATTTAGTCACCCTGTTTTGATGTGTTATGACACATCTCCAGGGCACGTAGGACTTGAACGCAGATCTCCTGGTCCACTGCCACTGTATAACAAAACCCACTTTTCTCTTAAGGAGTTCAGCTTTTTTTTAAATAAACCACTTTGGCCATGTTTTGACACACCCTGCTGCCCATCACACCTTGACTTGAATGTGGGTCTTCTGAAGGAATGTGCCATTGTGCCACAAGACCCCAATATCAGAGGGCACTCATTCTTTGTGTTTACTGTTTCCAAGTAATTGGCAAGAAATTTGTATTATTTTACTGCAAAATTTTGACTTCAGATTATCCACAACAGGTCATATTGTATATGGGAAAGAAAGAGTTGGATTCTTGGTGTGAATGGCATGGGGAAAGGATTATACCAGTTTGCTCATTGTACATTTAAGACAAGATTTGTAAAATGGTTTCTTTTGACTACATTATTTTTAAAGGTTAGTTTGTCAGTTTACAAGGTGGAATGTAAACTTCCAGGGCGGAAGCGTGATCCACTGGGTAATTATAAATTCTGAAAATGTAAAGCAGAAACACAAAATGCTGGAAAAATATCGGAGGTCTGTCATCATCCACAAATCCAAATATCTCTTTCCGTAAGACGTGAACCGCTTATCTGATTCTCATGCTATTTTCTTTTTGATCCTCTGATAAGCGTGTGGTCTGCTTTCCTGACCTGAATTCTAGACTGGTAGTTAATTCTCAATTTCTGGAGAAATTGGTCTCTTAAAGTAACGGGTAGGGTTGGCGGTGGTGAATGTCTTTATGAGCACTGCAGATGTGTTTGATAACGTATGATGGCATAGATGTGTAAGAAATTAGAGGCAGCAAAGGTATGAATTTGGGGAAAAGAAACAGAGAATGTTAAAAATTTGTAGTTATGTTGAGCTTCTCAACCACTAGATGTTCCAAAGTGCTTTAGAGTATGAAGTTTTTTTTGTAGCTTAGTCAGTGTTGTGATGTACGGAATACAGCAGCTAGTTTGCGCACACCAAGCTCCACCGACAGCAATATGGTAGTAACTGGATAATTTTTTGTGAAATCAGTTGAGGAGTCAATATTGATCAGGACACCTGAGATAATTTAATTGATCTTTTCCTGAATATTGCTGTGGGATCTTATACATCCATTTGCAGGGGCATTTAGCTTTGGGTAATGTCTAATCCTAATGACTTTCAGGTGCACTATGCAGCACCACATCACTATTGCACTGGAGTTAAAGCCTTAATTTTTATGCTTGCCGTACTGTGGGATTTGAACTTAAAGCCTTATGATTCAGAGAAAAATGCATTAGCTAAATCACAACTGACTTACCAGTGAGTTTTCAAGCGTGAGAAAAATTGGATGTATCCAAAATTGGTGTCAGACATATTTCTTTTTATACATAAATGACTTGGTCTTGAGCATGGGGCATAATTTCAGTTTGCAGATGACCTGAAACTCTGAAATGTGGGATTCACTAAATAAGGAAGCGTATGCATTGAAGGTGATGTGAAGTTTCACCAGTTGGTTCCTGGGATGAGAGGACTGTCCTGTGATGAGATGCTGAGCAAATTAGGCCTGTATTTTCTGAAGTTCAAGAGTATGTAATGTGGTTGCATTGAATTATACAAGATATTGAGGGATAGGCACTGAAAGATTGTTTCCTCTTCTATGGAATATCCCACATTTTTGGGATAAGGGATCTTATCCCATTTATGACTGAGGTGAAAAATAATTTCTTCCATCAAATTTTTGGAATTTCTCACCCTAAAGCGTTATGGGTTCTCTATCATTTAACTTGTGCAAGGCTGATTTACGCAGATCTTTCGTGTGTCAGAATCAAGGGATTGGTGATTGAGTGAGAAAGTGGACCTGATGCACATGTTCTACTGTGATGATATTGAAGGGCAAAGCAAGTGCTACCCCTATTTCTTCTATTCATAAGAAAATGAGAGACTTCAGAAAATGTTAAAATGAGCAAATATTTGGCAAAAGATATTAAATGCAGGAAAGTGTGATGCGACTCATTTGGTGGGATAAGAGGGAGATGGTGATGAAATAGGTCATGTCACTGACAGTCTGCTGTAATACGTAAGTCTATACGTTTCCTAACACTCTTTAAATGTTTTAAAAACAATTTCCAATTTGTGGGCTTTAAACTCTGGATAACTTATAATCTCCCTGGAAGCTACTTTTGATTCTAGGAAACCAAGTCTCAGCAGTGCGCTGCTTTCTGTGGATTTCCAGTATGCTTGGGTTTTAAATCTGGGTTTAGTAGCAG